TGTTGTTATACATTCTAAATGAATATCTAATGTGAGCATGATGTGTTCAGAGTATACATGTCAGATGTTGTTATACATTCTAAATGAATATCTAATGTGAGCAGGGTGTGTTCAGAGTATACATGTCAGATGTTGTTATACATTCTAAATGAATATCTAATGTGAGCAGGGTGTGTTCAGAGTATACATGTCAGATGTTGTTATACATTCTAAATGAATTATCTAATGTGAGCAGGATGTGTTCAGAGTATACATCTTAGCTGTTGTTACTACAATGTAATATCTTCCAGTAGAGTTCACGTGGTGTTGTTTTAACCAATCTCATCAAATTACTTTGATCTCTGTACTGACCAGTGTACAAATCTGTTGTGAAAACATGACTACACTTATATCCTAATTGACGTTATTCATCATCATCATCTTTTATTCAAATAAGACCGCTCACAGCAGCACATAGTGTACAGTTACAATATGTAGCAAATATATTACAGTATTGACAGTAGGGACAATTCATATGGTAGTCTGTTAATTGAATTTTTGACCCAAACCAATTTGTGTAAGCGAAATGGTCGGCTTGGAACACAGAAGTAGACATATATCAAAAATGGGTCATCAGTAGTTGATTACACAAATACAGCCCATGAGCATTTGAGTCACTTTAAAACGTTTCATGTTCTTACTATGTTATCACTGAAGTCTTGTCAATGGTTGCAATGTCCCCCATGGTATCTCTGACCACTCGATGTTGACGTGTGATATTCCCCTTCCTTTTTGTCAGAGTATTCAGGTAGAACTTACATAAGAAAAATCCAAATTTTATGTTAAAAGTAAAATACCACTCACGTTTTTGAATGACGATAATTGTTTAGATAAGGTAATGCCACAATTATTAAAATTGAATCTGATTGAATCAGTCTGTTCAAAGCGATATCAATACAGCTTACGAAGATTTTGTCACATTTATGTATTCAAAATTAGACAGGGTTGCTTTACCTACTGAAAATACATGTTTTAATTACAAATCTAAATCTGTTCGTTAACCTTACTGCTGTTTAGAGCTCCAACAGCAATGGGACAAAGCGTGCGAAGCTGTAAAAATTGTATCTTTAATGTTAATCTCGTGTCCGAAAGAAAGCCTTGAAGCACCATTTTGTTCAGGAACGTAAATATTTTGACACACTTCTACGTAAACATAAACGTTCGTATCAGCTAGCCGAACTGCAGCATTTATTGGACAATTAAAATCAAGGCGACGCACGCAGTTTTTGGAAGACTATATGTTGGTTTGGTATTACGAAAGACAGAAGTAATTTTGTTCCCTGGAAGGTTGAATCCGACGGTAGCGAATGTTTTGATAAAACCACGATTTTGAATAAATGGCCAAGCGATTTTTTGTCGTTATTTGTGGAAAACACTTCCGAGCGAGCTGTCATTGCGGTGTCCTCCCATTAGTCATACGGCCCATTAGTCATACGGGTTAAAACAACATATGGTATGGTTGACTGCACCAACAATTACCTTTGTAATACCCACAAATAAAGTGGAATGACCCAAGAAACACAAAATTACTACTTTTAATACTTTTAATAATCTTTTAATGCTCCTCGGCATAGCATATATATTTAATATAGCACATATCATCATCAGTGACCTATAATCTTATATGACATATATACATAAATAATCACATTAAGTAATCACTGTAAGTTAAATGATCATTAACGCAGGATCGCATATTAACATTTTGAGTTTGCAGTTTCACATTTAGTGGTCAGTTGGATACAGATAATCAGCATCATCCAGAAACTGAACACAGTTTTTTCTGACCTTCTTGGTGTTGGTCCCACAATCTGATGAGTCGGTTTTCCTTCTCGCGATACATTCGCTTTCTGCTTTGGGGAGCAGCACCAAAGTCAATTTGACGCATCTTGGCAGATTCAGACTTCTCAATCTGCTTGATAAGTTCAACAAAACGGTAAATGTCTGGATGATGATGTGGCAGAGACTTATTTAGTCGGTAGTGGAAGCCTTCAAGATTATTGTTCGTGCGAGGTCCATTGTTTCGGTGGTGATTCCATAGAGGGATGGGGAATCTAGCATCATCATCAACTCAAGTTGTTACAATATAATCATTAACTCTCTGAGCGTTGTCTAGTTCTGGCGTATCGTGCATGGCGTCGACCCAGGCATCTTGGACGTCAGCTTCCGGTAACAGAGCCAGGGATGATGCTGTACATCGCCTAGAAGCAACATATTCCACTTCAATCAATCCTGCCATGATAACAAGAGTGATATGCTAGAGTCTAAAACATAGACACTTTTATGTACTAGTTTGTGTTTTTTTTAACTCAGTAAAGAACAGTAAATAGCTTGAGATGAATCCTGTACTTGTTCCTAAAATATCATAGGTATTTATTTAAACTAATCCCAAGCTTTCTAATTAGTGGACTGATCCATTTTGACCAAAGGGTATATGCATATTGTTGTTTTAACTAATCCCTCATTCGCTGTATAACTATTGGGAGTATGACAAATGGGCGTATGACTAATGGGACATGACCATCATTGCACGTGTGATACCGACATTCTACGGACAGCACTTGTACCAACATTCTTTTCAGACTTTTTACTTTTTGATTTGAAAATAATGCATGTCCAGAAACTTGGCGCACTAGCATACCCGATTAAAAAAACCGATAACAATCCACTTGATCCGTTAAGTTATTGAGGTATTTCTTTAATTTGGTTTAAATATATTTTTTTCACAATAGTGTGAAAATGGATTGGTAAACAAGCGAAGCGCTTATTTTAATACCGCTCCATTACACATAGGACATATTGCAATAAATACATCAATGAAGGTTAGATGTAACAAATGAATTGTACATTTCTTTAATGTCGGTCCCATGTAAGCTCTACGCCGATATGTTAAACACTCGTTTAAGTCGCAGGTTAGAAACTATTAACGTTCTTGCTGATGACCAAAACGGGTTTCGTTCTAAGCGAAGTACTCAGGAACATATATTCAGTTTATTTTCCGTTATCAATAACAGAAAGTTGTCTAGAAAATTAACATATGTTTGTTTCATTGACGCGATGAAGGCGTTTGACAAAGTGAATCGTTCGTGTTTATGGTATAAACGTCGTCGGCTTGGCGTCAGCGGTAGACTTCTTCATGCTGTACAAGTAATGTATGATAATACCTGGTCATGTGATAAATAATTGCTTAACAGATCCGTTTCCAGTAACTTCTGGAGTTAGACAAGGATGCGTGTTATCTACGACATTGTTTTCGGTGTATATTAACGATCTCACAGAGGAAATTAATAAACTTAAATGTGGTATTCAGGTAGACGATAATATGTTATAATATTTAATTATCTCCCGCCACGAATTTGGGCGGGGGATGTAGAAACGGAGTTCGTTCTTTCGTCCGTCCGTCGGTCGGTCGGTCCGTCCGTCTGTGAAAAATGAAACTATTTTCATATTGATGTTACTGGTTACGATCTCAACTGAGTTCGAAAAATGGTGTCGTAATTTTTTTTTTTTACAAACTTACGGCTCTTGCGCCATGATTTACCACTGCGTGAAATGGGGACACGTTTTCCCAGAAACTACTGAAGTTACATGAATGAAAGTCTGCATGCTTACCTAAGAGATACCTGTCAAGACTGAGTTCGAAAACTGGTGTGTATTAATGTCACACGTCATCATTTTTTTGTTGATAAAGCGACCCTATTGCCCATCTCTTCTTCAGGCTTCAGGTTTTCTTGTTTATTTTGTATCCTAAAAAAAATCTTTTCCAGGAGAAATATGAAATTAATGCATTTTTATGTTTATTTAGATTTTTTTTCACAAGTTTAAATCTTATAGGAAAAAAGGAAATATATAAACCGATGGAAACGAATAAGGGAAGAATGAAAAATATATGAAATAAGCTTTACTATCAGTACATTTGAAAGAGCGCGCATACGATTTTAAGTCATGTCAGAATGTGTGTGTGTGTGTGTGTGTGTGTGTGTTTGTGTGTGTGTGTGTGAGTTTATGTGTGTGCATTGTTTCCATCGTGTATTTGGCAGACAAGGCTGTGAAGCCATGATAGCATATCATATTACTTTGTCTAAAACAAAGTGTTCCCTTTTTTCATTTTCATCAGTACAATTGTTGAAAACCATATATAATTATATTATATTATATTATATTATATTATATTATATTATATTATATTATATTATATTATATTATATTATATTATATTAACGAGTTTTATTTTCGTAATTCAGTGTCATATTCTGTTTTCCCTTTTGTAGTACACAATTTTATTAGTTTCATTGATCTACCATCATTATCTATTTCAAACTTTACTTGAGATGTACGTGTGTCCTTAAATGCATATATACATATCAAGGTGGAAATATAGTTCTAAAGTCGCATTTATAAAACCTAAAATATAAGAAAATGTTTTTTGGTGAACAATGAGTTAATCCAGGTACTTCTTAGTTTCGCAATTTTCTCTTTCACTTAATCTAGATATTTATGATATTTGTACTGTAATACTTTACAATAATGTTTTCTTCTTTCACCTGCGATGGTTATCGTTTCGTTGGTATCAAATATAGCCTAGAATATCGGCACTTTCGTCGAGGGCGAGGAAGTACCTATACCTTTGGGATTTGTTGGGGTACTGTTGGAGAGACAATCAACTCTAGTTGAATTTTATACAATTTGGTTACAGTGTGAGTAAAAAGAACGGTGTAAGAGTTTTGATACAATGTGCACGTTTTTGAAACCGCGACGTCATCACAGTGCGGTACTGAGCGGTGAACAAAGCCAGCTGACGGCCAGATACGATGAGCATTAAGTTACACCAAAGTTTTTAATGCTGATGACTTGCGTTCCTATTCACAGAAAAGTGTAGGAAAATACTTATTTTAACCCAATGATTAATATAATATCATCGAAATCTTATGAACTCAAGACAATAACTGTATCTTGTCACCTTTTATAATTTAGAATATAACCTACCTGCAGTTGTAAAATGAAGTTAGAGGGAATGTACTCATGGGTGGTGTTAGCTGCTTCCTTCACGACGATGATGCTGGGCCCTAGCGTCAACTACGCCATTGGCGTGTTCCACGTCGCCATGTTGAAAGAGTTTGAGGAGGACTTGGTTCTTACCACCTGGATAGGATCCATCTTCGGCTGTATGTTTGCCCTTGCTGGTACGTGAAAAGAATCGACACTTCAACTAGTCCTGATATTTTTCGTCTTATTACGCAGGCACTGTTCAAACTTCTTGTCCCTGAGCAATATTTCCTGTAAAGTTTTACAATATATTTGGTTTTGAAACGTTTGCATTTTTTGAAATAGTCTTATTTCAGCGAAAATCATATGCGGAAGTCTTTGTTCAGGAAAAGTCATATATGTAAAGAACACAGATGGCAAAACGACAAGATATTTCGTATATACCAGGTTATTTACCAGGTCCTATTGTAAACGATTAATTTTTTCAGGTTTAATAGTGTCCAGAGGAAAGGATTTTCATTTGGGAAAATATTCCAGTGTTAGTAAGATACTGGCTGCGGAAATAGTATCATTGGCAAAAGATTCCACTGAGAGTATTTCTTCCCCTGGAAAGAATCTTCAGGGGTGAATTAAATATTCTATTACACTATGACAAAAATAGTCAGAACAACAATGAACTAGTGATGCATTCCTACTTGAATGTTAAATGAAACAACACCTTTATGTTTTCAGTTAACAATGACATGATTTAATTTCAATTGAATATGTATGTATACGTGAACACCACATTTGTTTTTTCGGAATTTCGGATTTTCTTCTTAATATACATGCATACATAGTTACCTATCAAAAGTTGTTTATACATACTTTGTTATCGTTATCTGTTTCAGGGCCTGTAGCCAGCCTTGTAATCAATGTGTTTGGCTGCAGAACATGCGTGGTTGTGTCAGGGATTCTTATGATGATTGGGTTTGCTAGCAGCAGTCTTGTGACTGATATACGAATGCTGTTCATGACATATGCTGTAGTAGCAGGTATGTAACAAGTGCCAAAACAAGTGTGTTGTCCTGCAGCCCCTGTGTGACCCATGAATGAAAAAAAGACACACACACACACACACATACACATACACACACACACACACACACACACACACACACACACACACACACACACACAAACAAAAAAACCAGGATATTGTTGAACAAATACATTTCAACTGTAGGTATGTTCGGAAGTCATATTCGTATTTCTGTCACATTCTAAAATGGATTAGAAATGAATAGATTCCCAACTCACATATCACAGTCACCACTGACGAAAGATCTTCAGCCGCGTGTGGATGTATGGATTCTGGGTTAGAATAGGTCCCCCCCAACCTAATGCTTGTCGTCAGAAGCAACCAAATTGATAGAGTGGTCAGGCTCGGCCACACTTGGTTGATGTATGTCATCGTATCCCAATTGCGTGGATCGTTGCTCACTATATCATTCATTGGATTGTCTGGTCCAGACTCGATTTTTTACAGACCGCCGTCACATAGCCGGAATAGTGCTGGATGAGGCGTTTACAAAGATCTACAAAAAGACGCTTATCTGCACAAGAACGCTACCTGCTGTCAAAATATTGGCAGTGTTGCACCCATCGCAAAATATTCTAAATGTATATGAGTTAGGAATGTTTACAATTAAGGAGCACTTTTCAACTTCCAAGTGCTGTTCGCGGAGAACTTGGCTGCTGCTCTCCTAATCGTAATTAATATATCCAAATGGTTTAGAGCTGGATATGGTTCAACTCCGCAACAAGATAATAAGACAAAATGCATATATTTATCAGCGTTTATGGAGGTAACTCTTAAAGAGAAGTATAGTTCATGTTTTATGAAAGAAATACACACTCACAACGTTGCGGATGTAAAATTTCAACAATATCTGTATGTCTCCCCTGATCTCGTCTTGGATAACCAGTTTAAGCAATGGTCTTAGGTTTACTGTCATTTGTGGTCAAGTAACTGTGAAGACACAATAGAAACAAATCACTTCTAATTGTTGCATGCTATTTCAGGTTTAGGCACGGGTCTGGCGGGGACCGGTGCAATTGTTGTCCTTGGATACTACTTTCCTGAAAACGCAGCTGTTGCTCAAGGGATTTGTGTCGCTGGGGCAGGACTAGGCATGTTTGTGCACCCAGTCTTAGTTCAGTACCTGCTAGATACATACGGATTCCATGGAGCCTTTCTTATAACTGGAGGAATTGTGTTTCATGCCTCTGCTACTGGTATGCTGATGCGCCCTTCTGAGATTGAACGGAAGAAAAAAAGACAGTTTTCGGGAGGTGGAACACTCAGAAGCAAAATAATACTCTTAATGTGTGGGGACTGTGCCGGGATTGTGAATGTCGTCAAGAATATATCGTTCCTACTTTTTGCAGTCAGTATTTTTTGTTTTGCTCTTGGTGCATCAACAGAATATTTATTTCTACCAGACTTTTTCATGAAAGAGGGGTCAACATTCAAGGACGCTTCCTTCGTGATATCATTGTCCGGCACAGGGAGCGTTATCTCGCGTATTCTCACAGGAATTGCATCCAATGACGAGGACATTGGCAGTGCAATTTTGCATACATCAACCGCTGGCATCATGGCTATTTTCACACTTTTTGTGCCTCTATTCCAATCATCTTCGCAGCTGAAAAATCTTTATGGGTTTTTCCTCGGATTGTACACAGGAGGTGTTTGGGTACTCATGAATACAATAACACTTGACATTTTGGGACTTCAAAACTTTGCCACTGGTGTTGGTGTGGTTATGTTTTTCTGTGGAACAGGCTACTTGATTGGACCCCCAATTGCAGGTAAGTACCCCCACCTCAAATACATGAAAATTAAAGCCCCAAAGCTCTTTCCATATTCATTAGACATCTTTAATAAAAGCAGAGTCCATTCTACGATTACGACAATATCATGATCATGAGCATGTGTTTATGAATTGCTCTCAAATAATGATGATACCCTATATCATTTTTGTCGCTGATGCATACAAAATGGACATGTCCTCCAAATGTCCATCAAACAAAACAACGTTACACATCGGAAATGTAAGATAGCCAGTTTTCATTTCAAAAATATACTCTGCAAAACAAGAAACGCAAAAGTGGTAAAGTCGTAAATATCTGACTGTATGGCCAACACCCATACAAAATTAACACCAAAATTGAATTGGTCATTTCTGCATGGATTCGGATTGATTTGTGTGGAAAAAATGAGGTACTGCAGAAAATCGCAAAGGAACTAATCACGTGAGAGCCTGGCGCTGAAACAAACCAACATGACATGCTACATCACTTCTTGGTCTTTAAAAGTTTGTTGAGTTTTCATTTGCATGCCATCGCAATCTTACAACAAGTGAACAGCGAAAACATGCCACGACTGACGGAAGCACAACGCAATAACGCCATCGTCCGACGGCAAAGAGGGGAATCATCATTAGGTGTAGCCAGGTTTTTCCACATAGCACCAAGCACCATTACCTGATTGTGGAACTGTTATCAGACACACGGGACAACACGGGACCTTTCCAGATTCGGTCGACCACGTACCACTACTAGAGCATAGGACAGATAATACGGCTACGTCACTTACGTGAAGATCCACCATGGCCACATCTACAACTACGGCAATACCAGCATTGTGTGGGATATCAGCCCAGAAAGTGAGGAACCGTTTACGCGCTGATATTCGCGTTAAACGACCAGATCGAAGTGTCATTTTGACGGACCTGCATCATCGGCTGCGACGTTAATGGCGTCAAGGTCACATCGAATTGCCACAACTGCGAAGGAGACAAGTTTGGACACCTTTCATGCTTCGACGTGCGGAGGGCGGACGTCGTGTTTACAGGCATCGTGGGGGATGTTATGCACAAAATTGCATACGTGAAGGGGACAGATTTAGTGGTTGTAGTGTGATGATGTGGGCAGCCATCTCCGACACCAGAAGAACAAACTTGGTGCAAGTTCTTGGGAATGTAACGGCACAACGTTACAGGGATGATGCCACACGTTCTTCCCATTATGTAACGAGCGAGCGTTATTTTCCAACGAGACAACGCCCGACCTCACACGGCAAGACTGACAACATCCCTTTTTACCACTTCCATTGGACGACGATGCCAGTCAGTTTTGGACTCTAATGGTGGCCATAGAAGATATTGAGAACAGATGACTGTTCCATGTGTATCATATAGAACACACGTCAATGACAATGACAATTTTGATCAATCGATTACCCTCTGTTGATTATTTATATGGTTTATAAAATATACATCTAAAATCACTTTTGCGTTTTCGCTTTTTGCAGAGTATATATATATGGCCTTTACCTACAATTTTTTGCAGACCCTGGTCTGTTTTAGTCTGCATGCTTATGCTTGCTATCATACTGCATCTCACACAACTATACAAAGTTATTAATTAGTATGTGTACTCAACACAGCAGCCATATTTGTTTCAATATATCCCCTTAGTCCTGATATGTACTTGCAAATTGCCTTTTAATTAATGTTGAATGAAATTTAAACGGGTGACATTCATACATCAGTCCCCACCCCCACCCACCCCACCACCACCACTGCTGTATGTTTAACAAACAGAAGTACCATTTCTGTGTGTAACATGTTTCATATTTGTTACAGTATCTTGCTTGCGACAAATTGTTTCACAAGAAATCCTTAAAACAAATCCCGGCATGCTAATAAAAAAACATACCTGTGACCTCATTGTAGGTGACGCATTTGCACTCGCATAGTTTAACAGTTGGTAACTGATTGATTTTTCTGGTATGTTGTACCAGGTGGTGGACTATGCAGACTATGAAGCCTGATATTCATTCTCCATGCGGAACTGGCTTTTGTGTTATTACAAAGCAATATGCACAGCGATTGACACCCGTTGTCTTGCAGCTGTTGACAGGTTGACTGTTATATCAGACTGATAATAAACAGGCATGAAATACTCATATCCCCGCCATTAGCCCCTGTGAAATATGTTCACTGGACCATTTTATAAATTGCCTAATTGCAAGGACTTAAAAAGTTATTACCGGTGTTTCTCGGTCTTTTCATAGAATGCGCAACTTTATTTGTGATGAGTTGTGATGTTACTTAAACAATACTCAGAAAAATAAGGAGTTCTTACTTTACTTAGAGATCATTGAAAACAGGGGTTATCAAGAGGTTAACCGAGCACCAATCATCTGATGATCTGAGTAGTAGACTGGTGTCTAGAAAACCACATCACTTTTATGATCAGAAACAACTACTACAGCGAAGCTCCAAGACAGTGAGTTGGAGAGGGAATGAGTTGAGTCATTTTCTGAACATTAACGAAATCTTCAAATTTCAGTTTGCCACTCAGATCACAGTTGAAAGTCCATGTAATTAGGACATGTTAACATTCATGCTGCTCGGAGAGACCTTAAATTTTCTGCATGAAATCAGTAAGCGAATGTTACAACCGTGCCCATGACACTTTTGGAGGAACATACACACAGGCAATGCAGAACTTGCCAACAAGAATGGAAATGTTTTCAATACTGCGAGATGACGTTACATCGCATAGACATCAGTACCATGTATAGTGTCGACTGCATAGACTTGATATCCTTGGAAGTCTCTTTCACTGTAATCATTGATGTGAGTTTCTGTGAAACACAAAACATGAACCATACCGACAAACCCTTCATTCTTCACATCTTCAAAATGAGTATTGAGTGATCGAACATTCAAGTGAGCCACCTTGAGGGCATCACGCCATGACTGATCTCTACAGGGTGTGTCCAGGTGAACAGTCTTTCATTCCGCCTTCTAGTCATCTCATCCAATGCTGTTTTGTTTACTACAAGTTTGTTTTAGGACTTTCCTTGATTTGATCCCACTGAGCATTGTATATACTTGACCAGGCTGTGCTTTAAATTTCAAGTCAAGTGGTATATTTCAATTAGGTAATTATCTTAACGGTTCTCAGACAACCCTGTGTAGATGGTTTTTGTTTGTAGAATGTGTAAATGGTTTCTGAGTTATGCTCCGGAAACGAATGCTACACGTAATAGAGCCTAAGTTCAGTTTCTTACCAAGGAAACATTCTGAAAAAAATACCTAACTGTCAAAAGTCACCAGTTCATCACTAGCCCTAACTATGAGCTAGTCTGGTGAAGAAATATTGTACGGTTTTCAAGATCTGCTCCGGAAACGAGCACTACCGCCATTTTCAGTCAAATCAAACTTGTTGCTATGGAAATTCGACAAATAATGTTCTGAAAAAGAAGTCTCAAAAGGCACCATCTGACCACAAGTCCTATCTATGTGGCAAGTTTGGTGAAGAAATAGTGTACCCGTTTTCAAGATTTGCTCTGGAAACGAGCACTACCGCCAATTTTAGTCAAATCAAACTTGTTGCTATGGAAACTCGAAAAACATTGTTTTGAGAAAAACAACTATAAAAAAGGCACCGGTTCATCCCTAGACCTATCTATGTGCCACGTTTGGTGAAGACATATTGTACGGTTTTCAAGATCTGCTAGGGAAATGAGCACTACCGTCATTTTCAGTCCAAGTCAAAGTCATTGCAATGGAAACTCGAAAAATATGTTTTTGAAAAATCCAAAACTTTCAAAAGGCACCAACTGACCACAAGGCATATCTATGTGCCAAGGTTGGTTAAGATATCTCTCATGGTGTCTTTAGTTCTACTCGGAACTCGGATGGACGGAAGGACGGACGGACGGAGAGCACCCGTTAAAATATCCCTCCTCCACTTCGTGGCGGGGGATAATAAGTTCATGAAATGGCGTGAAGGGCTGCTACTGTCATTGCATGCAATACAAACAACTTTCTAGTTTTAACTAGTTTGACGTCTACTCATTAATATTATTGTAATATTAAACATGCATAAATAACTGATTTCTGTTAAGCAAAATAATATCTTATACACTCCATTAACTGATAGGAATAAAGGTTAAATTGCCAGTGACCACTTACAATGGAGCATCATTTCGACAAAAATAGTAAATTGTATTTGATTTTGTTGTAGGGGCCATTTTGGAAGCGAGTGGTGATTACTACAATGTCTTCTTGTTCTCCGGTAGGTATCGATCAAGAAGATTTGTTCACGCATGTTAATGTCTTCTGTGGTACATATGCATCATTCCGTTCGTATTATACCATGTTAAAACGGAGCATATCACACTGCGGTATGTCATTAAAACGATTATGAATAATTTAGAGATGTGATATACATATATATATATACTCCTGGAAATTAATTAAGCAACGCCCATATTTGCATGAGCCAATTTACTTGTGGCCTAGTGATAAATATGTTAGAGTTAACAGTATCCAATGATGTTTACTGCTTACCAGAGTTGTCAGTCATGAAGAAAACAAGGGTTTGAATAGGAAAGAGGTTTCCGTTTTGGAACTTTCTAGAAACCTGATTTACATATTTTAAGCCTTTTTACACCATAACCGCGCGTATGAATATATATCGATAGCCTACACCGATCCATAGAAAATGGTGACCGTTCTATCACCCACAAGAACTGTATATCGATATTTCCTCCATCAGACGCTGGGTCTCTAATACACGCTGGGTCAATGGCTCTCGTGATATTAATAGACGGCCGCGTGTCTAATAGAGGAAATACGGTACGTTTGATATCGGATGGTTTTGGCGACGATTTTGATGTCCTGATCCGTAACCTGATTGCTTCGATGATGGCAGTCATTGGCAGTTGGATGACCGCGATGTGGGTCAAGTTCTGGCACATCCCAGTTTGGGTGGAGAGGGATAGGCATTTTTTTTTAATTTGTATCATTTACTGGGGGTAACAGATTTGTCAACTTAGTGGGACTGAATAGCACATTTTAAAACACAGTAGGTTTCTTTCCTAATTGATGGCTATTTGAAGAAAAACGTTATATTCACCAAAAACAATTAGTGAAAATAAATATTGAACTGCTTCAAACTACTCTGTATGATCGGAATCCTAAACCAATGTCAGAACATGCAAGAAACACAGTTCTCATCAATACTAGTACTTTGTCTAACCTATCTGCACGCGAACGACTGCCGCTAGATGCCTACTCATTCCATGAAGCAGACATGGCTCTTGATGTTGATGTATTCTAGCTCAATACCCATGCAATGCAGCAGCAGGTTCTCGCACATTTTGCACTGGTGGATATCGGCAGAAATAGATGGCCCCAAAAGATGTTCTATTGGATTAAGCTCTGGACTACTTTCTGGCCATGGAAGTGTCTCCATGGCATTCTCACGAAACAGTTCCAGACCAGCACGTGATCTGTGATGTCTAGCCTTCTACCTATGCAGACAATTTACGACGTGCCTTGATAGCGCTTTGTAATAAACATGCAGCCCGTGTCCCTGCAACGTTAACGTGCATTGTGCTTTACGTGCATCGTGTGCAAAATTAATGACTCATTTTAAAAAAACCATTTCATTCTGTGTCATTTGGATGGTAGCTTTTCTTTACCAACGACAACAATGAAATCCAAACAAATTGTTATCTGTAAGCATTATTTGTGGAAATCATTTGTTTCCTGAATTACTAGTATATTTGGCAATAGTATTGAAAAGTACAGTATTCCCCATCTACCCTGGTGAATTCAGTTTGATCAATGACATGTAATATTCACTAAGACAAACCATTAAGCAGTCCTTAACTACACCAGTTCCCTCCTGTACAAACTCCAAGCAAAATGTCTAGATTCAACGATTGGCTTCCAGACTCAATATCAGGGTACAAGACAGAACTCATACTGATGGGGGTGCCAAGTATGTTGTTATCCCTTATCAAAATGGTGAATATATATCCACCCAGAAATGTGTATGTAAAAGTATTTAGGGTGAAACCAACCACAAATACAAGTACTGCACAGCAATTACAATGGCAGTACACAATAGAGTGGTAGTACACAATTTAATGGCAGTATGATGACAGTGGTCAGTGGTTATAGCAAAAGTCAGTTATAATAATAAATGCACCCAGCCACGACAGTTTTCAAGCTTCCGCGATGGGCCTAGGCATGGAATCCGGGGTGATGGGTGATCTTCATACGAAAGCTGGTCTTGATAATGTCAGATAAAATGTGAGACGAAATGTGTAATAAAACGTGTAAGAGATGCGAGAGCCACGCTCTTGTCCCATTATACAAAGTCTAGCTAGCTTCTCGAAATTTCCATACAGAGCTATCACATCATAGAATATTCCACTTAACGCTCTATCTCAGTCCCCGGAATTATACACATTACACGAGCATCTAATTATATACTCAACTACAAAAGTTCCTGTGACACCAATATTTCAGTGTATTTTTCAAACAAGTAAAGCTTGTTTTTCAATATTGTAGTACATGTATGGAATCAATTCACTTAAACGCAGCTGCTACGGAAAAAGCATGCATTCCATGCAAAAGTTGACGTTTATGAAAGCCCCATGCATTTCACTATCCAAGAATGGGTATAAAAACATGTGCGTTAACGGGATTCCATATGCATTGTTTAGCATCGTGCTGACAACAACCATTTAGGAAAACAACAAAATTACGCAATTATTCAAATTTACGAAATGCCACGCCTGTCCGAAAATGAGCGTCTGTGAGCCATTGGTATGCTTGAAACAGGATCGAGTCAACGTGATGTTCCAAGACCATTTAACGTCCACAGAAACACCATGTGGTGTTTATTGCATCGTTTGCAACGTAATGCAGTCAGAGACCATCCTCGGAGTGGCAGGCCACGCGTAACCAATAATCGATAAGACAACTGGATTCGAACAACACACCTACAAAATCGATTCCAGCCAGCAACAGTATCCCTGGCCTTCGACGAATATCTTCACAAACCGTACGTCGTCGCCTCAGATGTGCAGGGATTGTCGCCAGAAGACCCGCCAGACGTCCCATTTTGACAGGAAACCACCGTCAAGCACGTCTACAGTAGTGCAGACAGCGGCTATGCTGGACGGCCATGCAGTGGGGACAAGTTCTATTCACTGACGAGTGTCGTTTTCACCCCAGCCACAGCGATGGACGGATTCGAGTGTACCGACGTCGAGGTGAACGTTACGTCAATCATTGTGTCATGGAAGAAGATCGGTTCGGGGGCGGCACCGTTATGGTATGGGGTGGGATTACAGCAAGACAGAGGACCCGTTTGATAGTGGTAGAGGGAAATCTCAATGGACAGCACTACCGCGACGAGATCATCGGCCCTGTTGTTCGACCGTTTTTGCGTCGTCATGGCCAAGGCATTGCCTTTCAACATGACAACGTCCGGCCTCATATTGCCCGACTTGTTCAGGATTCTCTTCAACAAACCAACGTGAATGTCATCTCCTGGCCGGCTCGCTCCCCTGATCTCTCACCAATCGAGCACAAGTGGGATGAGATGGATCGGCGCCTTCGACGTCAACCACGTGTTCCAAAGACACTCCAGGAACTTCGAAACATGCTCTAGCAGATATGGACAGATATCCCACAAGACTTTGTGCGACGCCTGGCCCATACCATGAGACGAAGATGTGTTGTTTGCATCGCAACCAGAGGTGGACACACACGCTATTGATTTGTAAATTGACATTTTAGCATGTTCAGGTTTTTTACGAAATCACGCATTTTCTGAAGTCAGTATGGCAAATTAAACCATTTGAACGCTTACGGGGAGTCTTTTATCTGTTGGAAATCGAAATTGTTTCAGATTTGGTAAAAAACAACAACTTTGCATTAATTCTTGATTCCACTGACTACATTAAATAGCACAACATTAATACAATAATATCAATCCCTGATTTGCCAGTTTCGAATCGCCTGTTCCGTTGCTGGAATATTCCGGATACTTAATAACAAACACTAATCTTTGATGGTTGATAAGTGTGCGATGTACTTTGAATGTGTTAAACAGCCCATTATGTACAAAAGAAGTCATTCAGCCACATGTCATGAAATGTTCCCGCGAGAGAATATACATGACGTTAAACATTACATTAATTATTTCCTTTAGCCTGTACATTATCACAGGCTGCACCTTAGCGACAGGCTGACTTATATCAGGCTCTGTTCTAATATGATGAGTTGTGTGTACATGACAGTGTAACTTTTAAGGAATAGAAATAAACTAGTATGCTGCATCAATTGGTTGAAACACCAACGCCTCGTGATTTGTGTTTGGGCACAGGTGAACCAGTCGTCAAAAGGCATGAGTTGTGTTCATTACTTCTGCCAGAAACCTATGATCCTGCTTTCAAAGTCCAAGCTTCGCCTTGATTATGTTTCTAGATTTGTCAGTTTTACCCGTGCTAGTGAGTTTCACCAAAGTGGTAGACGTCTAAGACCTGCATCTTTTCCCCCACATCAAGCTGATATATCTGTCCTAATGTTCAAACAAGCGGTAAACCAAACGCCTTTTCTCCCTCACTCATTAACTTATGTTTACTCTAGATCTGACTGTGTACATGTTTCAGTGGCACCTTGGACAATTTCACACAGAGAACATGTTCATTTTAACTTGCCAATTAACGCGATTAGCACTCCCAATTATTCTTTTGACAAACATCTATCTGTATAATTCATTTGAAGGTTTGAAGATTAGGAATATATAATCGTTATAAATATGTGACAATTAAAGATTTGAAAAGAACCTGTTAGTTCAAAGAAGATACATTTCAGAAACTTTTAACATTGAAACCACTTTTGTCTGGACCCTTTATGTCGGAATTTCCTAGTTCTGGACGGAACATATTCATAATTAAACATATATTACTATTACCATGAATTGTTAGTCCTGATTTGAGTTTCCGGACGATTGTACTGGAAACGGTACCATCCAGATAAAGACGATTTGAATGTACATCTTCACTTAAACTGGTTTCCATCTGAAATGAAGCAGGACATGATACTGATGTATTTGTTGGTTTTCAGGTGCAATGATGTTCTCGGCCTCTGCGTTTGGCTTTCTCTCAACTCCAAAGAAAAATACCCTGAGTCCTCTGGATGATACTCTAACGGAACTGAAAGTGTATAGTGATAACGCGTTCACTGGCGTTGCAGAGGTTAGAGAGAATCTCGTTTCACCTTCGGAACAAAAGGAACTGTTGAATGATAAAAATATATGAAACCAATTTGGGTATTTTGCAGGTACAATACTCCCTTCACCTTTGACATGAACTGGCAATAACCATGTGTTTGATCATACGTATATATATATGTATGTATTCAATTATAACATGTATTAAATGAAGATCAAGATGGTAACATGCCTTGATAGGTCATTAAGACACTTTAATGTAATAATGATGCTAACAGCATTTATATTGCTGCATGGTTGGCATATCCGGGTATATTTAACTCATCCAACTGTTTGTTTTTTGTTTCCTGAAATCCAATTATTTCTCTTTTAGTTATTAGATCAATGTCTGCCTTATATTCTAATCGCTTTCTGAGGCCGCATACATTTAAACTTAAGATATTAAGACTATTATTAAGGTAATTGTAGAGTTATTACCATCATCATCATCGCCATCATCAACAACAACATCCTAGTTGCAACATTGGCAACTATATCATTATCACAATTACTAGCCAATTCAGAACCATGTTTTACAGCATTTACATTGTAACAAATGTTATACTGGATGTAACACTTTCTTAGTAAAGTACAGACTCTAGTACTTATTTAGGTTGAGACCCATCATGGATTCGAACCCACACTCCCAGTGTGAGGCACCTAATCGCAAGCACATAAAGTCAGCGATCTAACCCACTCAGCCACCGAGGCTTCCACAACAATAAAAGTCCTACAGCTGGTTGTCTGTATCACGTACTGTGTGTAACCCTCTGACAAGTGTAAATTGGCACTGCTCCAATGTACATGGGATCATCACTATCATCACCATCATCAGCATCAGCAGCAACAGCAACAGCAGCAGCAGCAGCATAAATAACATCATAATCATCATCACCATCATCAACATCAACGACATTAACATCAATATCACAATTATTAGTTAACTCAGAATCATGATTTACGGCATTTACATCATGATGTAGAAATATATTTTCCTTTGTTTTATATTAAATCTTTGCTTCCTGAAAAAATAAATAAGACATATCTGACATCAATGCTATATGGTGCTTCTGTGTTTGTATATGTTTGAGTGAATATATTTACATCAGCGAATTGTTTTCCTTATCTGAGGAAACATGGTTATTTTAGATTTTTACCAAGTCCATTGTATCATAAACATTGTGAGCACCATCTGTGTTTTCCTTTGCCATGCTCAGTACATTTACCTTTCTTTCTGTGGGTTATTTTAGACAAAGTGTGATCTATGGTATTCAGACTATCAGATACATTGTGAGCATGATTTGTGTTTCATTTTGAATTAACTACAGTAAACTACGCTTATTACGAACACGCTTATAACGAACTGACCGATATAACGAACTTTGTTTTAGTCCCGACCATTTGTTGTGTACATGCTGTATGACGAACTACGTATGCTTATAACGAACTACGGTTGTTACGTACTAAAATTAGTGTTCTTCTCGAGTTCGTCATAACCGTAGTTTACTGTAATATATATATATACATCAGGGTCAAATTGAATATTTCTTTCAGACTTTTTGTTTAGCTTACATGTGGTATGAACATCATTGTTAATGCCCCGCATGAACTTCTTTGTTTGATATCTGGTGCAATCTGACCATTTACTTCGACATATGTTGTTTTTACCATCTGTGATACAGTTAGACACAAATTTTTTATGGATAGCAGCAGCAGCAGCAGTGATACAGTTGTTGTTATCCAAAAAACACTGGAGCAATCAAGTAATCAAATACGTTGTCAACACTTTTAGGAGTATCTTCAAAACCAAGTATCTGTATTTACATTAAGTGTACATAAGCCATTTAAATGTCATCATTGTCAGGCCTATCTGAGAAAGGAATGTTGTATATTTATAGTGAGTGAGTGAGTTTGGTTTAACGCCGCTTTTAACAGTATTCCAGTTATATCGCGGCGTGTCAGCTAAATGAGGGAGGAAAGCCCGAAGTGATGCAGGTCTCAGACGTTAACCACTTCGGTGAAACCCACGAGCACGGGTATGGTGCTGACAAACCTAGAAACATAATCGGGGCGAACCGGGATTCGAACCCACAATCACAAGTTTCTGGCGTGCCCAAGGGACGCAACTCTGCACAGCGAATCGCGGTTGTATATTTATAACATATATATTTATATATTGTGTGTTTATATTGGGATTCCATGACATATTTACTTCAGCATCTTTAGGCTTATCAGTGATTGAAGCATTTGCAATGGTGATATCAGAAACAATTTGAAGAACGTCAGTGTTTATTGGGGATTAAAAGAGGATGTTTACTGTTACAGGATATTTTACAACTGCCATATTTAGACTCACTTACTTAAACAAATAAAGGCGGTCGGGTAACCTTGTGGTTAAAGCGATCGCACGTCACGCCGAAGACCCGGGTTCGATTCCCGACATGGGTACAATGTGTGAAGTCCATTTCCGGTGTTCCCCGTTGTGATTTTGCTTGAATATTGCTAAAAACGGGGTAAAATCAAACTCACTCACTCACTCACTCACTCACTCACTCACTTTAACACATACATCTTCCCAAGTAAACAGTGTTGGTGTTTCTGTCCTACCTACATGTAGTGTAGACTTTTGACCATCCTCGCATCTCTGAAGGGGTTACTGTGACTGATTCACACGTGTCTGTTGGGCCCTACATAGGGGAGGAGCTACATTTTGAAGATTATTGTGTGAGCAGTGGCACGAGTACCTCCCGTATATAGGAGTTTACCTCCTCCGGGAACTGCTCCTGAATACTCTCAAAGTCCTCCCTTCCGTTTTTCGCTGCATCTGTCTCAGATGTTTTTGGCGCGTGGTCGGGTACGGTCTCCTGGGTTAGCTGGTGTTCGTGGTCGGCCAATGCGATGAACGGGTTTGAATTTAATTGTGCAATCCATTTGTAAGTCTGACGATATAAAGTTTCTGAGAAGCTCTCCTGACATTTTTCGAAATTTGATTCAATTTGGGTTTCTGTCTCTTGTATGTTATTGATAATCAGGTTTTCTCGATTAGAATGAGTGAGTGAGTGAGTTGGGTTTAACGCCGCTTTTAATAGTATTCCAGTTATATCACGGCGTGTCAGCTTAATGTGGGAGGAAAGGCCGAAGTGATGCAGGTTTCAGACGTTTACCACTTCGGAGAAACTAACGAGCACGGGTATGGTGCTGACTAACCTGGAAACATAATCGGGGCGAACTGGGATTCGAACCTACATTAATAGGTTTCTGGCGTGCCCAAGGGACGCAACTCTGCACAGCGCCGTTGACGACTGGGCCAACCGTGCTCCCCATTATGGATTGAAGTGGAGCCATGATTAGGAGTGTGTGAGAAAAAGTTGTGTAACGCGACAGTCAGCAAAGTTCCTAGCTGTATCATGTCATGACAAAGCAAAACAGTTATCGAAACCCTGATCTCCAATGTATGCTATAGGGGCAAGATAATAAGCAATCCAACAAATCACAAACCCCGACCACCAAATCTCAAAACAAAACAAGTAACGAAAATTCTTCATCGAAAATCATATATGTATGCATCCACTGCTCAGTTTCGGACCTATTATAAATACGTAATCGATCTTATATAGAGTTAATTGTTGTATCAGCGACCGATCGTTTGAAAACAGACAGACAGACAGACAGGTTTATTCAGTATTATGGCCTTATGGCCTAAAGTACAATTGATACTATCTCATAATATGATGTCACGTGCATATACAGAAATTACATCTTCTTGAATCTGATAGAAAAAGCATGCTTTATATAAGTAGCCACTGAAAAGATAACATGTTTATTATGTGTGTTGATAATATTGATCATTAGCATTTCAGATTTGTAGTCATTATTCAAGAAGGGTAGATATGTAGATCTTAACTTTATACGTGTTACACTTAAATAAGACATGGAATTCATCTTCAATTTCACCTCTGTCAAAATTGGTACAAACACTGTTAACAGCATTAATATCTTTAGATTACGACACATATTTACATCAAAATTATGTAATGGGATTCTAAATTTACAAAACGATCTTATTAATGACTTGTCTGGTAAGACAGATAAATTACTTTACATGTAATTGCTAAGATAATGCGAAGATGAAACAGTTTCGTTCCAGTTTTGTGCAAATATATCTTTCACTCGCTGCTTAAATATCCCAATGCACAAACATATTGCAGCGTCCAGTTTCACCAAGAATTGCTTTATTTGAGGCATATTTACCAGTACCAACAAAACGTTTGAAGTATGAGGTATGTACATTTTCGATGGCAGCATAATATTTTGTTCCCCATATTTCCGAACCATATAGTAATATTGGTGCAATTTTACAATAAAAAATATTGCATGCTGTTGAAAATGATACTTCTTTTGTTTAAGCAAATTATACACAGGCATACATGCTTTTCAAACTTGAATAGCAAGTTGTTTACATGCTACTGACCACATTAATTTAGAAGAAAACATGATACCCAAATATTTGTAGTGAGATACAACCTTGACCGAAGCATTTCATGAGTCCGCTATTCCCTTTTAGCAACAATGCCATCATTTCTATAGACCATTATGTTTGTTTTATTTAAATTAAGCTCCAGTCCACATTTCAAACAAAATGATTGTAATACATTTAATTGTTTTTGTAAACCGCTTACTGCAAATGACAACATTACAATATCATCAGCAAACAATAGCATCATAATTTCAACAATATCTTCATGTACAATTATACCATAATTACATTGTTCATGAATTTAAATAACAAGTTCATTGATAAAGAAAATGAACAAAACAGGACTCAAAATACAACCGTCTCACACCTCGGGATGTTGAAAAAAATCTGTTTTTCTCTTGTGAGTCATTATACATGCTTTTACTGATGAATACATACTTTGCCGAACATTAAACATTTTCTCATGAGAACCCTTGATTATAAGTAGATACAGTAAATTTTGCCTATCAACAAAATCGAAGGCTTTCTTAAAATCAACGAAAGCACAGTAAAAACGTCCCTTCGGTTTGCATATATATTTCGAGCACAATGACTGTAAAATGTGCATATCATCTATGGTAGAAAACCAGCTTGAGATTCCGATATATAATCATTAATTTCCATCCATGTTCTCAACCTTCTTTCTGACACAAAAGTGAATAACTTGACAGTAACATAAATACCTCTGTAATTATTTGGGTCCGCCTTTTTTCCAGATTTGTATAACGGGATAATCATACCTAAGTTCCGCGAAGAAGGGAAAATACCTGTAACTTATACTTTGTCAATAGTGATTTCAAAAAGGAGAATCAGTCCCGCACACTTAAAAAACGCTGAAGGTAATCCGTCCTCTCCAGGTGCTTTGTCGAGTTTTAGATTGGAAATGGCTTCTTCTATCTCGTATGCAGTGATTTCGTCTGATAAATCATTACTAAAAATATACTACAATTTTCACAAGAATGGTTATCAAGGAATTGTGAAACCTGAATGATTAAATTCAGAATGATCTTCTGTAGTTGCAGGTTTCAATATTTTTTTAAAACGGGTTGCCCAAACGTCAGGTGATATTGTATTACTGGAGTTCTTGTTTTGTAGAACACGTTTCATTGTATCCCAGAATTTCCTGCAGTCATTATCCTTTGCTGCTGCATTTATCTCATCACTCATTTTATTAAAATCTGCCTTTACTTCAATGTATTTTTGCCAATTTAGCGCACAGTTATATTTTCTTGTTTAGTAGTCTATATTTCTCTGATTTGAATTGAACACTGTCTTCATCAAACCAAGGAGGTTGTGATCTTCTAGTTTGCTTAGATGCTGTATCATGAGCTCCTCCATTTAGATCACTGTTAAACATAATTTC